TCTCAAGGCTCTGCATGGGATTTAACGGGAGCCATATGGTTAAGCTTGTCAACCCTCCCAGAAAGCATCCCCCCAAAGGGCCCTCGTAAATGTTCTCAGGGCTGTGAAAGATCCAGCAACTTTCTAACAATAAAGCTATGTTCATAGTCCTGATATTAAATGAAACACAAAGCCGGAAATAATGGCTTCTGGTCTGAATTACTCAAAGGGGAGCTTCAAGTTGTCCTGATTAAGGGACGAGGCACAGTGACAACCGGAGACCTGCCCCTCACTCCCAGCAGGAGGAAAGAGGCTGGTCTGGATGCCCCCAGCCTGTGGTGGACAGTAACAGTCTTAGTCATGCTCAGCTTGGTTTGAGGCATTTGCAAAAGCTCTTAATAATGGATTTATACACAGATGTCTTTACAGAGCTGCTTTGTTACTTCAATCTTTCAACTATGTCTTTCTACAAATGTGTCCTTTACCAATCTCTGTCCTTATTTATTTTCAGAGCAACAACTGGCACAAGCCCCTCAGTCTATTACCTATCCCTTCCTGATGCAGGTCAGGCAACAACACAAATTCACACAACAAAGCCTCACAAGCCACGTGGTTGAAAAAGTAGTTCTGCTTTTGATACCAACAAGTCCTGAGGAATAGTAAGCTTTTCTTCTAGCTATTACAGTGTTGGCTGGTTGGTTTTCTTGTTTGTGGGGCCGCATTGTGGTGTTACACCTGAGATAATGCATGCCAGGGGCTTGCAAAGAGAAAAGGGACACAGAAGCACAGACAGGGTAAGAGTAGATATTATTTATGATAAGCTTTGCTACCTGCTTAGCTTTACATAAAGCAAGATTTGCTTCACTAACTATTAGACCTAAACTGCTTACAGCCTCCTACAAACACATGCAGATTATGTCCCAAATCTGTGCATGACATGGACTTTCATATGCTAGCATTAGAACTGGTGTAAAAGCAGGAAGCAATTTAATGCATTCATGCACACACGTATACATTCTGCAGAATGTAGATCCAAGTTTCCTGATATAGCTGGTTAATTTTATCCTACTCACAATATTGCAAGTCTGTGTATTCTGTTATTAGATACATAACACTGGCATTGCAAGCAATTACTATTAATTCTCACCAGTGATCTATCATATTTATATATTATTTATGTATACTTCTACACTTGCCCAGTTCCCTACAAAGAATCAAAAAGGAAAAAGAAAATTTGTAGAACATGTTAGCAGCTACTCCCATAACCCATCAAAGCTCAGTACCGCTGCCTGTTCTTGGAGAGCTCTACACTCCCTCTCATCTTCACTGCTCTCCTGAAGAACGGCTGAGGTGGAGTTATCTACTGCCTCTGACCCCATGAGGAGAAGCAGGGCTATTTAGGAAAGCTGGAGTTGGTGAAGACGATAGCCACCACCTACTTATCTAATCACTGGTTCCCACCAGGAGTCTCATGTCATAAGAGACCCAAAGATGACAGAGAGAGAGAGAGAGAGAGAGAGAGAGAGAGAGAGAGAGAGAGAGAGAGAGAGAGAGAGAGA